AATCAGCCCAGATTCCTTATAAATTAGATAAAGATGAAACGTGATCTTACAGAATGAACAACGCCTTTGACATGAGCCTGACCTTTTTTGAGGCATATCTGTGGATATTATAATTAACCGCTTTGTGTTTCCTACTCCTTTTTGGTTTTCCATTTGCTTTCTCTGACAGTGGTCAAGATTTTTCCTTTCCATTGTCCTGACATCTTCAGCCCGAATCCTTTCAAAGTCAACCTCTCCCATTCACATCAAATTTTGCCACGATTCCCTCACTTACATACTTTCTGTGTGCCCTTCTTTCGGTCTCTTTTTCTCGCTTTGAGTGTTTGATGTGTGCTGGGCACAAGAACAAGGGATCGGATACACACCCCAAACAGGAAATGAGAAATTCAAGCAAATAGGGCAATGACTCTGCGCCTCAGAGAGAAAGACAGAAGCTCATGTGGAGGAATGCAGATAGATAGAGCATAGCAGACAGCGGAGGATGTGAAATAGACATGCTGAATCAACATGCTATGAATGTTTGAGGTGAAAAGTTTGTTATAGTCTGTATGTGAGCATGAAGAAAGGCAAGGAGAGGAACATCCTCAGTAAAAAGTATTTATACACAGTGACCACCCATGACGCTGCTCTTCATTGCCTTGTGATATCAACCATCATGGTGAACTTGGCAAGTTTTCATCTAACACACGCAGGCTTTCACCTTTTTAGAGTTCATTACCAGCTCGCCCATTTCACTTGGATGTGACGCCAACTCTTTGACAGACTTACATCTTAAATCTCACAATAACCTTCTATCGTAGAGCGAGAAAGAGCAAGAGGATAATCTATCAAAGCGAGAGTGGCACGTAAGCCGAGGAGTTGTGTGACCGGCTGCACCCCTTTGATCTGGCTCTGTGGTTGTTGTTTTCACGCTAGTTAACGGTAGTGACAGCATGTTGTGGCGGCTAGTTTATTTTACATTGCAGGCTGTGCTCCTACTGTTTATGAGCAATGAGCGACTGAGCACAGCACACATGGTCACGCTTTCCCACAGAAAGGAACCGGCATCATAAGTGACTCAGGATGTCTGGGTACACACATTCTGACCATTAGATGACTATGGGACTTGAAAGGAAAGGAAGACTTCAACAGAACTCTGCAAATAAGGTGGAAAGAGGGACGGGTTGTTGAAAAATCTGCCCCAGACTTCTTCTAATGTGGTGGAATTATCTCAAGAGACTAGAATAGCTGTTACAAACAAGCAGCGGAGCAGACAGTTAGAAGTATTCAAAACAAGCTGTAAATATCTGTCAGTAGAATAACATTACTTTGTCAGCCACAGCATTATAGTGTACACACAGATGTTTGCAAATCACTAATTAGACATTATAACTTTGGCATGACAATACCAGCTATGAGGCACAAACAAAGACCCTGAACAATATCTGAAAATATTCAGTCACACATGGGCAGGCCATCCAGGATGTTGTGGGGGAGAGTTTCCTCTTCCTGTTGCTCTTACTGTTGGACTTTCCTGTCAGTTAGCATTGACTACTGACAGCACTTTGGGAGCCTTCCAGACTCATCCCTTAACTTTATTTTTATATCTCTAGGGAGTAATTCATTACAGCAAAGTATTAGTTCACATCCTGAACTCTTGGGTGGCCAGTCAGAGGAGGCAGCATTAGATGTAGGTGCCTTTTGCACCAGATGGCCCTTTCTACCTATTTGCAGTGCAGACCAGCGGGTGTATCTAAAAGAAAATGAGGACCACACTCAGTCGTTTAGTCACATGTGTTCATCAGGTGCTGTGAACCAAAAATCAACCACAGATATCATCTTCCAATTTCTCACTGGACCTCAGTAGAATGAGTCAGACTTTATGATCTTTGCCTTTATCATCAAGTAGTCGGCCTTCCAAATTGATTTAGTCACAAATACTACTATGGAAGGCACGGTGTGTGTGAACCTCTCGGCCATTCCAGTGCATTAAGGGTGAGTCTTGATGATTCAGCAGTGCCAGAGGGGCGGGACTGTGGTGCTGATGCTAGGATAGACTGGCTTGAATTAGGGCCTTCTTTCGCAGTCTGGGTTCTGTTATACCTCTCTGACAAAATGCCTTTTTCCCCCCCTGGTTGTGTGTTGAGCACGTGTGTATATGTGAGGATGCCTAATCTGTTGTCGGGCCTGTGAGAGGAGAAATCTTGGTTGTTACAGGCTAAAAAGAAAGGACCAAACCAAAAGAACAAAAACAGAAGAAAAAGCTTTACTTAAAAAAAAGCAGCAAAATCATGTTATGGAAAACCCTTCACTCCTTTAGTTATGAATTATTTTAAAAATGAAAGCATCTTTTCAACATTTCTTTTTTTTTTTTTTACTCAGACTGGACAGGGAACGTCACCAACTGACTACTTCCATTGTTCAACACTGCCTGAACTCTGCTAGACAAGCTTTCTTATAATATTTAAGCAGTCTTCAGGAATAGTTTTCCAGGCTTCTTGAAGAACATTAAAAGCTCTTATTTTGATGTTGGCTGCCTTTTGTTCTGTTTTCTGTCTAAAGCCTTCCAGGTGATATTGCACAGTGCATCAAAATCTGACCGTACTTTTCAGCGTTCATTTCCATCCAAAAATCCCCAACACCACTAACTTAAATACAGCTTCAGACCTCCAGAGCCTCCAATGTGTTGCACCCTTTTTCTGATTTAGTCTATATAAGATGGCAATTTTAATTAAGGATTTCTAGTTTTGATTCATCGCAGTGTAAGATGCGTTGCTAATAATTTTCAGTACAATTATTGTGTCATTTCTCCCTGTTTCCCTTCCTTAAGAATGGTTTCTTGACAGCCACCATTCCCCTGAAGTCATTTCTCACGACACTCCAGCAAACAGTAGCTCAGCTGAAGGGCCATTTGTATCTCTCATGTCCTCTTTGCTGGATATTTTTTTCTTATTTTTCTAGAACATGACTTTCAGGTACTGCTTTCAGACTTCTTCTTCTGCCCTCTGCTTTTTTTTCTGTCTTTTTTTTTTTTTTTTGCCAATAGCTCTTTGGGAATCTCCCTGTTTTTTTGTTGTTTTGTGTTGTTTAGCATTTTTTTTATAGATTGGGCAAAAGAAATGTGAACAAGTTATATGCTTTTGTGGTTGCTAGTAACAAAGTGTCTAATATAGAGTTTAAAATAGTTTCTTTGCCAAGTTGTGTGTTATGTGCAGATACAAGTCTAGTTTGAGTCTTTTTTTATGATTGAATGATGCACAAGTCATCTGGCTTAACATATCAAATAAACAGTGCTCTGAAAATGATTAGGTGCAAGAATTAGACTGAAAATGACAAAAAAAACCCAAAAACGATCCTAGAGCATTACAAGAGTTCTAACCTCTGAAAAGCAAAATATAAGGAAAAAGAAACAAGGAATGGCTCAAGGCTTTTGTTCAATATTTTATATTCAACTAAGTTAATATATCTTGTTAAATTTGTACTAATTTGCAAAAATATCAAGAACAAAAATGTAATCCAAGTTCAGAATCTTGTTTAGTTATAATGACATATTTAAGTTGAACTCTATAAAACTATTAAAACACAAAAGGTTTTGCCATGCTTTAAGATGTGGAATGTTGTTATTAATAAAAAATATAAAAACAAATATGATCTATAAAAAATTGGTATTTTTTTATATATCTGTTCCATTGCTGATTTTCTAGAAACACTGACTTTTTTTTAGTTATGTTTAATCATGCAGCTAATAACATTTACTATTTTATACACATATTCAAACCTACATCAAAGGTTTGGGACAAACTTTTGACTGATACTTTGTAAGGTTAGAACTCTATATAACAATATTACAAAGCTGCTATAAAATAGTGGAATAAAACTTTTATGAAGAAGACTTGTTATAAAAAGTGCAAAGATCTAAAAAAAAAAA